AAAAAAGGGTCATGTATATTTACCTCTAAATTATTGTCTTCATCACAATCCACATCCTCATTTTCAGTAAAGAAACATATATCATCCAAAGAACCTATTTCAAACATGAAAAGTTAAATTAAAAATTAACTACATAATTAAAGAACAAAAGAAATATAGATAAAAAAAAAAAAGAAACATAAACTTAATACCTTTGAGATCTGTTCTTAACCAATTTTGAAGACACATCAATGCTTCTATTGTATTTAGATTAAGCTTGCTACGATGTGAGCTAACAACTCTTCCACCAGTATTGAAAGCTGATTTTGAAGCAACAGTGGATATCGAAATGGCAAATACATCTTTAGCAAGTATTTGTAATGTAGGAAACCAAATCCGAGTAACCTTCCACCAACCCAAAATATCAAAACTGTTTTCTGTCTCAATTGGAACCACTGATTTTTCCAAATATGTATTCAACTCAGATTTCACAATTGGAGTATTACCTTTAGAAGAAAGGAATGACTTGAATTTGTGAACAAAATCAACCTTATTAACACTTGAAGAGGAGGCCATCAATGGAATATAGCTAGTTGTTGACCTATTTTTCTCATTTTGGTTAAACTTAGATTAATACCTATCAACTAAGTCATAACAAAGTTTCATAACTTTTTGCATTTCCTCTTGAGTTTTATCTTCATAAATTTCTAAAAAATAAAATTCCACCAACTGCATTTTGTATCTAGGATCCAAAACAGTTGCTATAGCCATAATTCCATGCACCTTACTCCAATATTTGTCAAAATTTTCCAGCATTAATGCTGCCATTGCTTCTATCACAACATTCCCACAAGTTAACCAACTCCTTAATGCAAACTTAATTTCACAAATCTTAGGGAATAAAATATTAGCTGTTGGATATTTATTCCCTGAGAACATTTCAGTGATTTTATAAAACATAACCAACTTTTCACAAATTTTCTTTGCCATTGCCCAATCCTCCTCAAGTGGCAAACATCTATATTTTGACTCTCTTTGTTTCAAATGAAAGAATACATCTTTGTAATGCAAAGCCACATCAAGCACTAAGTAAGTTGAATTCCATCTAGTTTTGCAATCAAGGCACAACTTTTTTAAAACTGGAATTTTTAATTGTCTAGCAGTTTCTTCAAAATTTTCCTCCCTTTTTGCTGTTGCTACCCAATAAGCAGCACTATCCCGAACCCTCTTAATGCCATCACCTATTACCTCCAACCCATCCTTAACAATCAAGTTTAAAATATGAGCAGAACAACTCATGTGTATCAAGCTACCTTCTAACCATAATGAATCACTAGAAAGTTTTCCTAACAACATATCAATCATGACATCATTAGTAGAACAATTATCTACTGTGATAGTAGACAACTTTCTATCAATATTCCAATCCATCAAACAATCAAGCAAAGTTTGTGATAGTATTTCAGCAGTATGAGGACAAGGGACGTACAAAAAACTGAAAAAATTATTAAAATTAATTAGAACAATAATCTAAATAATAATTCTAAAAAATAATAATTACACATATAAAATACTTAATAATTAAAATATTACCTTATAATTCGGCTTTGCAAAGCCCATGACCATCAAGGTAATACGCTGTGACG